TGTTTTAACATTCCGGTCAAAATTGCCGGAAAATTGAGTTTAGGGGGCACCGTGCAACGAATTAACGAGTTTAGGTAAAAACGTGCAATTTTTTTTTGTTTGGGGGGTAAAGTGCAAATCGGCCCTTAATTTAGGGGGCAAACTGCTTTTTACTCTTATTATTATTTTGTTAAGTGTATTGATGTTATTACCTATTTTTTTTTCTATTTTTTATGTTGGTGGCATAGAAGTGGGAAATAAACAATATTTGTTTTAGCCGTCCCCTTTTACTTATTGTAAAGAGTTTTTTGGTAGATTTTATTGGATAAATACAAACTTTGATCGAAAATTTGGACGAAGAAGATTTACATCACGAGAAGAAAAAAAAAAGTGTCTCTGACATGCGCAAGTTCATTGTCGTTGTGTCTGAGTGAGGCCCAACTTTACTATCTACGCTTCTGCAACAGCAAAAGGATGTTGTTTTCGCATCTGCGACTGACGCACACAAGTTTGTTGTTTCCACGGAAATCTCAGAAAGCAATCACGAGTGGAATGCCTTCGATTCAGACACAAAAATTGACGGAACGAAAAAATGATTTTATAGCCTCATGAAAATTTTGTCTCACTGCCAAGTGTATTATGCTCCAAATCTGATAAACTCATGTAGTTGATGACTAATAGTTGAATTTTAATAAAACAATATCGTTGAAAACTTATAAAAATGGTTCGGAAAAAAAAAAAAAGGATGAGTGAAGTTAGGTTTTGAATGTATAAATAAAGTGTCATTCATTTACTAAAAGTCGTCATGTATTTAAGTCCCAATCAAATATGCGCCGGCCTATATGCAATAGGAATATTGAATGGAAACTATAGTATTTGATATCATATAAAATAATATTAGATCTCAGACAATAAACATACTTGTCGATAATTATTATGTAAATGATTTTATTTAGGGGTAATATGCTATGAGTCACTTAAATCAAACCTAATTTGAATTAAATGACAAGTTCAAATCAAATATTTTAATTACATTCTTAGTTTAAAATAATATATGAGCAACATTCCTAAAGTTTTTTTTATCCCTATATTGCCCTTATACCATAAATCTTATAACCTACATATTCACGTTTCTTTAATTCAGATTTATTTCTCTTCTTTTCATATTTTATCTCACTTTTTCTCTCCATCTCTCTCTTGCGTTTCCTCTTCTTCCCTCTTTCTCTCCTTTTTTCTCTCTTTGTCACCTCTTTATCTCTCTCTTCCTTTCTCCATGAAGGCCGCCAGCGGCGGCCACGAAGAGAGCAGGAGCAGGAGCAGGTCCAGCGTAGGCAGTGGTGGAGAGGCGGTGGATGCAAAGGGCTGTGCGGCGGGGTTGTGCGTCGGGGATTGTGCGGCGGAAGGACCAGGTTTTTCTCTCTCTCTCTCTCTCTCTTTTTTTTTTTTTTTTTTATAATGATTTGGTAATGAAAATAGATAAACAAATCGATTTTCGTCAATGTTTTATAAAGATCCGTAATGGCAAACATATTTTGACTAATTGGATTTGATTTTCTTGATTTTTTAAAAGTTTTTTTCTTGGTTTGAATATGATTTGTTATTGTCTTCGATTTGTTGCAGATCTATATTTTTCAAATGGGGGTAGGTGACTTACGGTTGCGATGGCTGCGATTTTTGGCTGTTAGGGTTTGGGAAGAGGTTGCTTTGACTACTAGGGTTGGCGGCTAGGGTTTGAAATAGACCCCGTAGTATACCATATTATACCGTAGTATACTATAGTCTACTGCAGACTGTGAATATGTAGAGGATACCATAGTACACCACAGTCTACTACAGATTGTGAACATATAGAGGATGTTCGATGAAGTGAAATTCAAGTTTTAGATGTCTACAAACGAAGATAGCAACTACGATGACTATAGGTAACTATATTTATTGATAGAAGAAAAATAAAAATAAAATAAAAAATTGAAAAATATGTAAATCGAATTAAAAAATGAAAAAAAAATAACATGGTTTTTTTTTGGGAATTTCAATATTATGTATAAAAAAGAAAAAAAAAAGTTTTTTTTATAAAATTGTACAAAATTTTGAAATGAAGAAAGAAACAAAAAACGAAGAACAAAATGGCCTTATTTTGTAAAACAAATAATTAAAAAAGTTGCATGGAAAAATGAAAGTTTTAATGAAAAAAAATGATAAATGCAGTTTGAATGTACATAATACTGAGTGGAGGGGTATTTTTGGAATAAATTTTGTAAATGATGTGAAGCAAATGTTTAGTCGGACTTGTCATTTACTTCTAATAAGTTTTGTCACCAGGGACCTATATCTTAAAGCCTCTTTTATTCATGCAAAATATTAAAATAGAAACACACAAAATAAATTTAATTTTTTTTGTAATACTCTAAGAAGGAACAATAATTTTACATCTACATAGCTTGTAAGCCCTTCCAATTTTTGTTCTGTCCTTCATTTGATCCATTTCTACCACATGGCCAATCACTCACATCTAAAAACGAACAACAGTTTTACATCCATATATTATTTAAAACGTGTCGAACAATATAATATAATAAGGAGAGAATCATGTTTGAGGCTACCTGAATAGGTTTATTTTCGCAACTACTAATAAAAATAATGAGAAGGGCATGCTGAATCAAAATGCCGGAGTCGGATATTTATACTTATCAGAGTTTCAACTGATTATCCAGTTGCGGCAATCACAATGTACCTTGGCAAGCGATGCCATGTAGTCATCCGACCTGGGATTATATCAATATTTAATAACTGTAAAGCTTTGTTATCAAGATAAAACACACACAGAAAATAGCTGATATCGAACCTTGAACCGTAAGCTGATTTACATGCGGCGATTAAGTGAAGTTTAGCTTCATCAGATTTTTTCTGCATTATATCGGAGAACAATTTATCAAGTGTTGCCCAATAGTTAAGTAATTAAATATATATCAAGTTTCAATTGAATATTGTGATCATCATTCAGCTATACACAACTGCAAATTTGTGCAATAAAAAAACGGATATATAATTGAATTAGAGAAATGCAACTTATCTCAGAAAAATATGAGTTCTCTCAATCTCCTATAACCGATTATCAAAATCGAATTGGTTATCAAAAAGATCTTCGTTTACAAAATTAAAGATCTAGCTGGTGAATCTTGATTTTATAAGTAACCTAAAGATTTTATTTAATAACCTCAAGAAATCGTCAGCAAGTCATAGATACTAGTCGTGTATATTCATAGATTGGATTGTCTAACAAAACCTTTAACCTGTAATCAAAGCTGTCAATAAGGACTATTCTCTATAATGGATGTTTACTCCGACATTATCACAAGTAGTCTAGAGATTAATGTGTACAAGGTCGCTTATTTTTCATTTAATATGTACTAAATCAAAATTCTCATATCCAGGCGTAATAGAATATAACTTACAGTTAAGTTTTTGATTCATCGTGTGAATGGAAGTATTAATTTGATAAGCTTTGAAGAGTTGAATAACGATCCAAGAGGGAAATAAATACGGTTTAGGATAAAAATTACCTGAGATTCATAATATAGGCCAGCATATAGTGAAGCATAGAAATATTCGTTCTCCCTTCCATTTGAAAAGGCTGCAACAAGCTGTGCAGATAAACAGACTATCACTCAAAACACATACAAATGATGCAAATAGAAATAGTCCATATTTTTAGATGTAAAATTCAATCATATTTGCTTCGACTCATTTTGAAACAAAATTCTAATAAATTTTAAAAAAGTTCCAAAAAGAGAATCTATCCGAAGTGGTCGAAAAGCTCAGATATTGTTTACAAGTTCAATCAGACTGTTGTGGATGTAAAGTTGAATAGCAGATGCGCTACAAAAATTCAGCTATTAGCCATCGTAGGTCTCAACGTATGTTGATTGCATGGCGCCCCAATTTGTTAGGATATTAACTTTCAATTTTCAGCATAAAATTAGCATACTAATTAATGAAAGGTATTTGATGATTGACAATCTTGTGCAATTACTTCAGAATGTGGCTTCAGCAACAAAGTCCCAATACCATAACCATAAAAAACCATGAATTCAATTGTATAAAATAACAACAGTTAATAAAATACACAATGCAAATAAAATAGATAGCATATAGATCACAAGTCTTAATGCACTAACTATTTGATATAAAAATAAAAAAATAAAAAACATAAATCACCTTTTCCGGGTCACCACCGTCTTTAAACATTTGGTATGCTTCCCTCATTACGGGTCGGGAATCTCTGCCAACCTGCATTTACCCATTGAAATGAGATATCGGTGACAAATAATTTGGTGTTAAAATTTAATCTCAAATAATTTAAAAATGATATCTAGTAACAAAATTTACCTGAAGAAAACGTGTTCTTGCTTGATCAACACCATATAATTGAGCTTCACAAAGGAAACACCATATTGATTCCTCAGTGTCATTTGGGTTTTGTGCAACGTCTATTCTAAATTGTTCCGCACCTTCTTCAAATCTAATGTATAATAACAAACACATAACACACTAGTACTGAGTACTGACGACAGAACAAATAATTAAACAAAAAGCAAGAAAGCAAGAGAAAAAAACCAAGCAAGTACCTATTCACATAGTACAGTGATAACCCTCTCTGCCAAAGATCTGATTACCTAACAATGAAATTTCATATATCACCAAACCATAAAAAGTTCCCTATTCATTTTTCACAGCTATAATATAATTGAAATAGTATTGGGGAAGAAATAGTCAAAAATATAGTTGTTACATGCTTTCTGACGAGGGTCGAGCTCAATAGCCTTGTCAAACTCCGCTATCGAACCCAGAACGTCACCCTTTCAAATTAGATTATTAAGATTCACAATAGTGAAAAGAATTAAAAGAAAATATTTGAAATTATAATTATCAGAATCGTTTATACTTGTCTGAAAAGAAGCATTCCACGTCGAATAGCGATGGCGGCTTCGCGGGGAGAATTGCCGCCGGTTAAGGCATCAAAGAGACCAGATACTGAAACTGAAGGCAGAAAAAGCCTTCTTGAAATCGAATTTAGGTGACTGTACTGAGTTGTTGAAAGAAATAAATTATTGTTTGTGTGGTTTGCTGAAATCAGCGGAGAGTGTCGAGAGGAGGTAATCTGCAAGCAGGTTGTGCTTGGAGTTGCAATTAACAGGTTGTGGGTTGCCGCCATTTACGGGCAGTGAGTTTGTGAACGACTGAAAAATGTGAAAAGTTCTTGCACAGAAACGAGTGAGCGAGTGAGTGAGATGATAAGCCGGACACGTAAACACAAAACAAACGGTGGCAACGTTTGGGGATATTTCAATTTCATTTTTTGGGGAACCCGGAGGAATTTTGTTATTATTATTTTACCAAACTCAGGTGAGATATGAAAAAGTGATTTTGGTTTCCTAGAAAAATAATTAAATTAATAATTTGAGCAATTATGTATATATCCTTCTCACTTAAAATTATTTATTACATTAAAATAAAATAGACTAATATAGAATAGTCTGATTTACCCCTTAATTAATTGAATGAAAAAATCGCTGCAAGTAATTGCTGACAGTTGGTTGCATATGGATTCATCTATGGCGAATATATTGATTAAATCCGCAACCCCAAAATTGACCTACTTTTAAAAAAAAAATCCCCTTTTTTATTTCCCCCTTATTTTTGCTGAAATCACACCCCCAAACACTCCATAACATTCGATATAAAAGAGTTTGTATCTCCTTTGAGGTTGGGTCCCAAGTTAATTGTTGAATTGTGAGCAGCGACGGACGGAGGTAGGAGCACTACCCTGGAGATGGAATCCATTGCAGGTTAACGGGGTAGGGGTGGGTGGCGGCGAATCTAAGGTTTAATTTTATTTGTAACCTAAAATAATTTGTTAACTTTCGTTTAGTTGTTAAATGTTAATTAATATATATTGAAGTTTTCGCTATTCGTCCAATTCATCACTGTTAAATGTAATTTACATCATTTGAAAAGGTTCATTCATTACATCATTGATACACAATAAGCCAATCAACAATTTTTCTAGAGCTTCAATAATAGAACCACCACGATGATAAACAATGATGCAATTATAATCCATGAAATATGCAAAAGTTTTTCATCTCCATCTCTTCCATCAACCCTTGTAGACCTGGCTGTTGGCAAAATTTCAGCTGCCTCTTCCATTTCATCTGGAAAATCTTGCGCATGCATTCCAAGTAGTACCTCAATCGCTCGTTGTGGATGACACCAGCGAAAGAAATTGCATTCTTGACAGGAATACAATTTACCCTTTGTGTCTGGACTAAATTGAACCACCTTTATACCTAATCTCAATTTGCACCTGCATAGAGGAGGCATTGCATACCTCAAATCCAAGTGTTCCTTGGAAGCATGGTTCCTCCTCGTCTCGTGTTGTTAGATGAGTACGAGGACATTGCGTTTTGTTTTACAGGAATTTGTGTGTTCCCAATGAATTTGACAAAATTAGGGTAAAAGGGGAGAAATTAATCAATTATAGCAAAAGGGAAGGGAGTGAGAGAGAGAGAAGTGCAAATCGTCCTTTTATCAGTAATAATCACCAACGGCATTATGGACAGTAACACATGAAACTACAACAATTAGCAGCAGCATTATAGCAAATCATCCTTTTAAATTTTGAGTCATTACTTATTTTTTGATGCATAAAACAGAACAAGTAGCCAATATATATATAAAAAAAAAACAAATTGGGCCAGACCCAATCCAGCTACTAATATTGGGCCTAAAAAAGCCCACGAGTTAAAAAATCTACCAAAAGAATTTACATGAAGACAATTATCCCCGACCATTACACGTTTGGTTGCAAAGTCATCGTAGTATTATATAAATCAGAAGCCTCCTCATTATCACCGCGACAATCATCGACGTTGACTAGGAATTCGGTAACCTAATCCATACTCTGATGATTATTTCGGGCCAGAGTCAAAGCCAGAGATCTTATTACTAATGTTGAATCTCCCTATAAAGAAACGAAATTCAGTTTACATTCATTCTGAAATATATATTCTGAACAAATTAAATATATGGTTAAACTTTAAGTTATATATTTTGTTTGCTCACATTACTTATTGGTGTATTGAATTTGTTTCCATTCATCATTATCAAGCATACATACAATCCACAATCATAGCTGTATGTATGAATTTATTAGAATGACATTGAATATCACAAACATCAAGGAGAAAAGTGAGATTTAACTTACCCGTTTGGTTGGAGGGGTACCCAGTCGGCGTTTTCGTAGCTGAGGTTATTTAGATTAAATATTCGCTTGCACTCCTTATATTCCCATTCGAGCAACAAAAGCTCCAGTCTTTTGAGCTGCATTATTTAATACACGATTAATTATACTACATTTGTATTCATCGTAATAATACCGCTGACAGTGTTTTGTTTTGTGGTTTGTACTTATTACCAATCTGGTGACAATCTGCCTCCGAAGATCGCAGGTGGGTTGAGAATCACAAATCAACACCGTATTGGTGGTAAGATCTAATATCACACAAAACAAGTGTTGTCGGTGGTCATTAATTGGGATGTAGATCTCCTTTACAGTTGACAACAGAAATGAGTCTTAGGGATGAAACAAAACCGCAAGTTTCTTTTTTTGGCTTAAAAATATTTCTTTTATTTTCTTTTGTTTTGCGATCAACAACGGTCTCCGGCGTTGACTTTTTTTTTTTTTTAGTCCGCCGCTAAACGTTGACCGTAATTGTGCTGTCACTGACAGTAAATTAACGTAATTATACTGTCAATGACGGTTAATTAACGTAATTGTACTGCCGTTGAAAGTAAATTAACGTAATATTTTTATTTTTTATTTTTTTGATTTGTTGACAAGTCAACGTAATTATATTAGTGTCGTTGACAGTAAAATAACTGTAAACACAATAATATTACTGTCAACAACATCAATATTATTTTTTTTTGTTTTGTTTGAGTTATTCACGGAGTAACGTAATAATATTACTGTAAATACAATAATATTATTGTTGCTGACGGTAATATTACCGTTGTTATAGTAATATTGTTGTCAACCACATCAATATTATTATTTTGTTTGAATTTTTTTTGTTTGTTTGAGTTATTCACGGAGTAACGTAATAATATTACTGTCTATTATTGTAATATTACTGTGGTTGACGATAATATTACTATTGTTATAGTAATATTACTGTCACTCACAATAATATTAATTATTTTGTCTTTTTATTATGTTTACATTTGTTGAACGGTCAACATAGTAATATTACTCTATTACACAATAATAATGAGTTTTATTGTGTTAATATTACTGTGCTAGAGATTAATATAGCAATATTACTGTGTTAAACTGTAGTTTAGTTAATTTTACTGTGTTTAACAGTAATATAGTTAATATTACTGTCAATCACAGCAATATTGTTGTTTAAACGAAAAAAAAAAGTTACAGAAAGAAAGAAAAAGAATTCAAAAAAGTCAACGCCGGAAACCGGCGAAAAAATTCGGAAGAAAAAAGAAAGAAATTGAAAAGTCAACGTCGGAGTCCGACAGGAAAAAAAATTGAAAAAAATTTTTTTGGGTCAAAATTGAATAATTTGTGAAATTTGGGGTCAAATTGAGGTTAAATAAAGTTAAGGATGAAATTGGAGCATATTAAAGTATGATGGGTTGTTTTGGTCCTTTACAAAAATCTGGACCATGTGTGGACTTATTGGTAAAGGAGTTTTTTGTCTGGATCTCTTTATGAATAAGTACCCATTGATGGGCTTATTTGTAACGACCCCTATCTAAAATTGTGTAAAGTCTATTACCTCATATAAAAGATAATATCTGTGAAAAGTTACACTGTAAGTAGGTTGTTGTAAGACGGAAGCAAAAACCTCAAGGAGTTTTGGTAATTATGAATAAGTCTATTACCTCATATTAAAATAATTGCAAGTTTTTTGGCTTGCAAAACTGTGGCCGTGAAACTTTTTATCAATTTTGTTATCATTTACTCACATGCAGTGGCGTATCTAGTAGTGAGCAAGAGTGTGCACCTGCACACCCTTGGTTTTCAGAAAAAAATTATTTTAATATATATATACACTGTATATAGCATTAACTGTGACTATCTTTGAATATCGTTTGGTAGCTCAAGTAGTAAGGTGCTTTCTCAACAAATCAAAAGGTTTTAGGGTTTGATTCCCAGTCTGCTGCTTGGCTCTTAAATTTTATTTTTCTTTCTAATTTCTAAGAAATGCAGATTTTTGTACCCTATAACTCTAATTTCTTTAATATTTTCATCAAAATTTTCTCTAAATATTTCTAAATTCTCCTAAAATTTGCAAATAATCTTTTTTAATATTAAACTTTTACATATTTGTATTGTTTTGCGCTTATACTATTAAAAAAAAAAAGTTTAATTTTTTTTTTCCTTTCTAATTTCTAAGAAATGCAGATTTTTTACCCTATAACTCTAATTTCTTTAATATTTTCATCAATTTTTCTCTAAATATTTCTAAATTCTCCTAAAATTTGCAAATAATCTTTTTTAATATTATTTTTTTAAATATTTATATTGCTTTGCGCTTATAATATTAAAAAAAGGGTAAATTACAATCACACCCCTGAGGTATGCTTAAATAACTTTAAGGTCCTTGTGGTATCGATAATTACACTCACCCCTTGAAACGTAGTTATAAACTCCAATGAAATAATGCATTGGATATGTTATTACGATAGAGTTCTAACGGACAATTGGTTTCAGGAAGTGGTGGAGACAACAAAGAGTTTTATCGGTAATTTAAGAAATATTGGGGGAGCCATGTCACCCCATAACTCTCCATAACTCTATGTTATCTCCACCACTAACTAAAAGTAATAGTCCATTAGAACCCTATCGGAATAATGTATCCAATGCATTATCTCGTTAGAGTTTCTAACTACGTTTCAAGAAATATGTATAATTATCCATACCATAGGACCTTAAAATTATTTAAGAACACCATTCCTTAAGAGCCATTCCTTAAGGGTGTGGGTGTAATTTACCCTAAAAGAAAAGTTCAGGGGCGCTACATCCAAACCCCAGGAATTTTACATCCATCATTTTTATTAAGTATTTTTTTTTTATTATACTCATTTTCGAACGTGTATTCAATTTGGTCCATTTGGATAGGGAAATTTGAAGGAAGGATTTGGAGGGGATTACATTTAATGAAGGGATTTGAAATGACCCAATTTATAGTCATTAGAAATCAACCACAATTGC